AAAGGTATATAACTAAGGATATTTGTAGGCGAGTAAGAACATCGAAAATTCCTTCGGGTATATAATATAACAAGGTCGTAACTTTACAAGAGCCAGAAGGTCTCCTTAAGTACTATAAAGAAAGACCAGCTTGGAAAATAAGGAAGAAGGCTTCCACCTAAGCATAGTGACATAAAGAAGAAATGGTCTTGTAACAACAGTGTCACTACAACATTGTATGTACTCCATAAGAAAGTGGCATCTACCGTGGCTAATGAATGGGAAGAAAAAAAAAATCAAAAGCTGATATTTGAGATCATATGAGTTACATGAAATTCCAGTAATTATGGGCAATGAGATAAGCCATGTATTCATGTAACAAGTGGTAGAACGACCATGAAAAGTAATTGCTTATGTTTAAAGGCAACTGAGAAGACATGAAAGGAAATCTATGGTGCTAGAAAGTTAAAGGAAGGTCACGAGTAGTATAAATAGATATGTGTAGGTCGCAAGCTAAAATATGGTAGAGTGATAAGGTTTTAGGTAGATGGGAGTAAGGATAAGAAAAGATGAGTGAGAAGGTGACAAGAATAGGTAAGGCCTCGGGATTAAGCCTATCAAAATAAGAGAGTTGATGGTTTCCGTAAGTTATAGAAAGCTCAGTATAGCTTGAATTGATTCGGAGGAGTCTAAGACTAAGAGCAATTAGAAGAGATGAAATGCTGCCCTGGTAGTAGAATAAGGGTGTAATGGTGATAGATAAGAGGATGACGTTTAGGCCTTTGATTGAGTAACAATTTTGAGAAAAGGGATTTCATGAGTTGCACAGGATTAGAACCCATATGATGAATCACGTTGGGATGCTATGAAATACGGTTATTGAAGTATAGTATCATACCTAGGAGGATCAGGCAAATCACTTCAAATGTTCCCCGATGAAATGTGAGCCTTAGTGATAATGTATTATGTAAGAAGTTTCAAGTTATCAGTGGTAGATTATGGATCAACATTAAGGTGAATCAACAATTAATGGATAAAAGTTATAAAGTATGAGATAAGATTAGGCCGTCATTATTAAGATGAACAGTAATGAGGAAGAACTAAAGGAGTTAGATTTATACATATAGGATAAGCAACGAGAGAGTAACCTGGAGTTGGGTAGCAGACCTAGGTAGTAATAAACCGAAGTAAGTGTTATGGTATAGCATGACCTACCTAGTTGTAGTAAAGCCATAAGGACAGATAACCAAGGCTGGGAAACAAAATATAGCAATAGTGGTATATTCAACAAAGTACCAAGCAAAGAACTTCAGTATACCTATAGATGCCCAGAGGGACAACTTGTCGTAGTCCTGTATATGTTCACAAAGTGAGGCCTAGAGATTGGTTAAAAGCTGGAGGAAAATGAGAGAAGAGTCGCATAGGCGCACTTACAAGGATAAAGTCATACAATCTGCATGATAGAAGGTAGCAATAGTTACGAGATTGGAAGAATTCTGACCACGAGTCGTGGCGTGAGAAAGAGGCCTAAAGGGGGGAATGACCTGGCCTTTGGATTTATTCATAGAACAGTTTCCTAGATGACAAAAGACAATATTAAAGTATTCATAAGAGTCGTAGGTTATGAGAATGATAAGCGCATCGGTCAACATTTGAGGACGAATGTTCCAAAGGGGGGAATGATGTTACACCCCATATTTTTGTACGTGAAAGTATATCGTAAGTCAATTGATGTAAGCTTGAAAATAAGATCCTCTTTGAAAGTATATGAGGTGATTTAACGATGTTACATCCCATTTTCGCAAGCCTTTAAGAGTTATCATTCGGGGACAAATATTTCTAAGGGGACATGTTGTTACACACCGTACTTTAGACGTCACTATCATCATAGGATTATCTAATGTGAGCTCAAAAAGGACGAAATCCTTCTACAAGGATAAGAAAGGTTTACCGAAGTCTTAAGTAAGTTAAGATGGATATGATACTCGTTAATCATGATTTAAATGAGTTTAAAGTCATGATATGACTATATATGATATTTGGATATAAAATATAAAGTTTGAAAAAAATCGGATTTAAGTTGCGGAAATACCGACTAAGGATTTGCCTTGTAATGGAGGTATTTGAGCAATATATATATCGTGGTGTATTTTTGGGACACATTATATACCAAATTAAAGGTATTGGAATGCATTTTCCAATGCTCTAAATCGTTTGTTCATACGGTGACCGGATAAAAGTATATAAGCGTCTGAAGATGGGCCAATCATAAGGTGCCAAGTAGCACCTTTTTGACTTTTTAAAAAATGGGATATTTACATCCCTTCGCTCGTCTCTTTCTCCATTTTTCCTGAGAGCACGCCCAAATAATACCCCTAACCTTACCCTTAATCTCTCTACAAGTTCTTCAAACAAGATTATCATCCCGGACACGAAATCAAGTAGCGATAACATTAAAACGATCCCTACGATGTAAGTATCGCTATATCGCCTCTCATTTTCTTTGTAGTTTGAGTTTTGAAATGTATTTAATAGTTAATAATATGCCTAATTTCTGTATTTAAGCTTTTAAATATCAGGAAAGGTTGATAAATTTGTTTTGTAATAGTTAAAACTCACGGGACGGTGATCGGAAGCCCTGAGTTCGAGTTATTTGACTTGTAGTGGACTATTTTGTGGGCTGTTTCATGTTGCAGTTGGGATATCTATTTTGCTACTGTTTAATGGAGTTTTGGAGGACAAATTTTGTGGAGAAACACCACATAATGACAGAATGTTGGGCTAGTTGTTCATCGTTACATTTTTTAGGTTGTTTGACACTACTTTGATTGTCGTTTTATATATGAAGTGATTAGGGTGTGTGGGCTATTTTGTGGTATATTGTGATGGGGATAAGGATGGAAAATGATGCTTACATGTTGTTATTGTTGTGTTCTTATTATTTTTGGTATATGGTATTGGAGGAGGGCATAGTTACAGGGGAGATGCTTCCCAAATTTACGTAAATGAGCTACTAGTTTAAGTTGCGGACTTAGCCTTTACTCAGCACTGATTTTGAATCTCCTTATACTGTGGTAGATGGAGTTGAGTTGTTTGAAGAATTTCTTGGAAGGTATTAAGGACTCAATGGAGTTAAGGTATGTTAAAGCTAAACCTTTCTTCATTTTGGCATGATCCCGTAACTACATGTGTTTGATAACAAAGCATAAAGAGAAGTTCATACTCCCGAATTTATATACATTATCCTAGTCTCATAAGTTACAATATTCTCCCTTTTTGGGACTTTATATTCAATTGAGTATTGTATTCTTCCAGTCAAGAGAGCATAAGGTCTATATATATATACAGTATTACAGTATTTTCACCATCATCGAGCTATAATCGATGGGCAGGCCCCTATTGGGCGACCTCTGATCAGATGGTAAGTTATATACCGAGCCTAATGTGGTCGAGCGCCTATGAGCGAGCCCAGAATGGCCGAGATACAGAGCCTAGTATGGCTGATCGCCTATGAGCGAGCCTACTATAGCCGAGCAGTTACACATACCGAGCCTTATAGGGCCGGACATCTATTTTACTTACTATATTGAGAGAGATGAGTCAGTATCAGCAGGTAAGCATATCTTCAAATTATATTTGACTCCCCTAGTACTTTCAGTTATTATATTATCAGTTCAGTTTCAGATTTCAGTTATCTTGTTGCCTTACATACTCGGTACATTATTTCGTACCGACGTCCCTTTTGCTGGGGACGCTACATTTCATGCCTGCAGGTACTAATAGACAGCTAGATAGACCCTTCCCAGTAGACAAAGCCAAACATCAGCTTGGTTGGTAAGCTCTACTTCCTCGGAGTTACCAGGTCGATACCTTGGAGTCTATTTTATATATACAGGTTTGATGGGTAGGTCGAGGCCCTGTCCCGACCATGATACAATTCAGTTATTCCTAGAGGCTTGTAGACGAGTTCTGTACATTTTTATATCAGTATTGTGGCTTTACCAACCCTATGTAAATGTTTAGTTTGGTATTGCTGGTTGTAGACATTATTTTCAAATGATTCAGAATATGGCCTCATTGGCCTAAGTTGAGGGTTACCCTCCAGAGTTCACAGTTACAGAGTGGTACGCTCGGGCCGAGTATGGCACCGGGTACCGGCCATGCCTCTTCAGGTTTGGAGCATGACAAAAAGTTTCTTGCAAGTGTTTGAGATGATCACCTGCATTCAAAGACTTAACGAGCATATCATCTATGTAAACTTCCATGGTTTTCCCTATTTGCTTTTCAAACATCTTGTTCATGAGGCATTAATAAGTGGCTCCAGCATTCTTTAGCCCGAAGGGCATCACATTGTAACAATATGTGCCGAAATTCGTGATGAACGGAGTTTTTTCCTGATCCTCTGGGTCCATTTTGATTTGGTTGTACCCAGATTAAGCATCGAGGAAACTCATTAATTTGATCAATGTTTGGCAATGGAAAAAAATCTTTTGGGCACACCTTATTTAAGTCCTTATAGTCTACGCAGATTCGAAATTTATTATTCTTCTTTGGAACTACAACTACGTTAGCTAGCCAGTTGGGATACTTTACCTCTCGGATCAAACCGATATCAAGCAGGCGAGTTACCTCTTCTTTGACGAATTTATTTCTGGCCTCGGCAATAGGACATTTTTTCTGTCTTACTGGAGGAATGCTTAGATCCAATATTAGCTTGTGTACGGATACATCTAGCGGGATACCTGTCATATCCACATGCGACCACGCAAAACAATCGACATTAAATTTAAGAAATTCAATAAATCCAGACCTGAGTTCGGGGTGCAGTCATGTTCCCAAGTGGACTTTCCTCTCCAAGGAATTTTCGAATAATGCGACTTGCTTAAGTTCTTCTGCTATGGACTTTGTTGCGTTCGTCTCTTCTGGTACCTAGAAATACCTTGGAACCTGATAGGATTCCGACGCCTTTCCCCCTGGTTGACTTCGCTTGGCTCGGGAATAAGCTTCGGCTCCTATAATTGCTATGCCTCATGCTCCTTCCCTTTCCTACTAGAGATTGAGATTGAATTCATCTCCCTTGTCGCCGGTTGGTCACCTCTTATTTGTTTAACTCCCTCAGGAGTTGGAAATTTTAGCAACTGATGATATATTGATGGCACGACCTTCATTTCGTGCAACCATGGTCTCCCCAGAATGATATTATAACTCATATCGCCGCCCACTACCTCGAAAAGGGTCATCTTCATCACCCCCTCAGCATTCGTGGGCAGCAAGATCTCTTCCCGAGTTGTCATGCTTGCTAGATTGAACCTGGTGAGGAGTTTTGTGGCTGGAATGATACTTCCAGTGAGCTTGTCTTTCTCCAACACTCTCCATTGGATAATATTGGCCGAACTTCTTGGATCCTCCAGAACATGTTTAATCTTAAAATCTAACACATTTAGAGAGATTACCAAATGTGGTAGCAACAGTCCATCCGTGTCTTCATCCGCAAAAGTAATATCGTCTTCAATAACATCCCAGGGTCTTTTGCTATGGGTCACTGATACCTTCGTCTTTTTCGCCGCCGAAAATGTAACCACATTAATCTTGTTCCCCCCGAAAATCATGTTGATCATCAGGCATGGGGGTCTTCTCCTGCTTTTGAAGGCTTTGCATTATCACGATTGCGACCGTAGTTGTTTTTAGCCAGGTCACTTAAAGATTCCCTGGGATGAACGTTTTTCAGCAATGTCGCCACCTCTTCGCACAGATGTCGGCAGTCCCCTGTCCGGTGACCGTTTGTCCTGTGGTATTCGCACCACAAATTAGGATCCCTCTAGCTAGGATCAGATCTCATTAGCTTCAGGAACCATGCATCTTTAATGTTCCTCATAGCCGATACCAGCTTCACTACGCTGACATTGAAGTTATATTCGGAAAGTCTGGGGTAGGAAGAATCTTGAGAACCTGACGTTTCCTTATTCTGCAACGACCTGTTGTTTCGGCGGCGATCAGTTCTCCTATCGGTAGCGAATCTATCCGTCGACCGGAAACCTCTGCCACGTCCTTCGTCCCATTCATAGGGCAATAACCGACTCCTCGAAGACCGTCGATTTGTATCGAAATCATATTTTTTATTCTTCTCCTGGTCTCAACCCTTAACCGACATCGAGAAACCAAGTTGATCATCTTCAATCCTTATTTTTGACTCGTACCGATTATGAACATCCGCCCAAGTTGTTTCCTGGAACTCGAGAAAACTTTCTTTCAACTTTCGGGAATCGTCGAAACTTCTCGAATTCAGACCTTTGGTGAATGCTTCAGCCGACCATTCATCCGGAATGGCTAGTAGAAACATCCTTTCCTTCTAGAACCTGGTTACAAACTCCCGTGGCAACTCGGACTCTCCTTGCGCAATCCTGAATATATCGGCCTTTCGGGCTCGTACTTTTCTGGCCCCGACATGGGCCTTGATGAAAGAGTCCGCGAGCATCTTAAAGAAATCTATGGAATGCTCAGGTAAAAGCGAATGCCACGTCAGGGCTCCCTTCGTCAGAGTCTCCCCAAATTTCTTCAGCAAAACAAACTCAATCTCGTGAGGAGCTAAAGCGTTTTCCTTCACCGCTGTTGTATAGGTGTCACGACCTAAATTAACCCTCCGTAAGGTGTCGTGACGGCACCTAGTCTTTACGACTAGGTAAGCCTAATATTACGAAAAATGTAAAGAAAACACAACATTTTAAAGAAAATCAGCATATTGTGAATAACCAAAAGTAGTACCACTCCGCATATACAAAATAATTTCTCAAGACCCGGAATATCACGAAGTCACAAGCTGCTATACTCTATGTAGCTCTATACAAAAGTCTGAAGATAATAAGGAAAATCTCTAAGCGAGGGAGTAGAAGGGGGCTTCGAGGATCTGCGGACGCAAGCAGAAATACCTTGAAGTCTCCTAGAATCAGCAGCATGCACTAACCCCGAGGCTGATAGCTCGCACCTGAATCTGCACACGAAACATGTGCAGGAAAGGGCATGAGTACACCACAATGGTACGCAGTAAGTGCCAAGCCTAATCTCGGTCGAGTAGTGACGAGGTCAGGTCAAGGCCTTACCGGAGTAAATATAATAAATTAAACAGTAAAAGATATAAATAAAATTTACAGTAACACAGATAAAGAAATTCTCGAAAAATTAACAGTTAAAGGAGCCCTCGGCTAAGAACAAGGTAAACACAATAGGTAATCTCCCGCGATACCGTCCCGTAGTTCCGAATGAATATGCAGTACAGGATGATCTCCCGGAATACGTCCGTAGTCCCAAAATAAATATGCAAGACAGGGGGATCTCCCGGAATACGTCCGTAGTCCCAAAATAAATATGCAAGACAGGGGGATCTCCCGGAATACTTCCGTAGTCCAAAAGTAAATATGCAGTATAGGGGGATCTCCCGGAATACCGTTCCGAAGTCCCAAAGTAAATATGCAGCGCGAACGATAGAAATACAGCTACATCACGAAATTCTTACGATTTAGACTAAGTACCAGTCACGGAAGAAGTAGGAAATTCACTAACCATGTTGCACAGAATTCACATAAATAATTAAGACACGTAGACATATTTTATTAGACTAAACATGATAGCTACACATATTGGAATAACTCAATTAAGAATGAAAATAGATTAGTGCTCATTAAAATGGTATAACTCAAAATAACAGAAAAACATATTGTTGCTCAGTAAGAAAAATCGGGTTTTACCACAACTAGTCCGTGTACGTACTCGTCACCTCACGTGCACGGCGCTCACATATCACAATAGTTCCAAATCTTAAGGAGATTTCCCCCACACAAAGTTAGGCAAGCCACTTACCTCGAATCAAGCTCAATCAATCGGTCACAATGCCTTTCCCACGAATATCCGGCTCCGAATGGCCCAAATCTAGCCAAAAGCAATTACATATCATAAATACAACCATAATAGACTCATCTAATTAATGAAATCAATACTTGAACAAAAATTCCGAAATTAACTCAAAAGTTGCATGTGGGGCCCACGTCTCGGAATCGGGTAAAAGTCACAAAATATGAAAACCCATTCACTCACAAGTCTAACCATATAAAAATTACTCAAATCCGACCACAAATCCCCTTTCAAAACTCGAAATCTTTGTTGAAGAAGTTCTTCCAAACATTTCCCAATTTCAACCTCAAAATCCGAAATTAAATGATAAAATCAACCATAGATTAGTGGAATATAACCATAAAGGAGTTAGGAATCATTACCCACAAACGTCCTCTGAAAATCTCTCCAACTTTCGCCTTCTACCGAGCTCTCAATTAAATTTTATTGTTATGAACTCAACCCTTATTTTTGAACCTTAAATTCTGCCCAGGTGCGTTCTTCTTCGCGAATGCGACGTCACGATCGCAAACGCGATGAACAATCTTCCTGTGGCCCAAAATTCCTCCTTCGTGAATGCGAGGGGACTCTCGCGAACGCGTACCTTCCACTGATGGACTCTTCACGAACGCGGGAACCTCTTCGCGAATGCGTAGGCTTAATGCCCGAAGCTCCCTCTGCCCCGTTCCTCTACGCGAACGCGAGGACCATATCATGAACGCGTAGGCTTAAGGTCCCACACCTTTGCGAACGCGGGAAAAACATCGTGAACGCGAAGAACAACTTCGCAGCCTTTCCCAGATGCTCTACGCGATCGCGAGGCACCTCTCGCGAACGCGATGAAGGATTTTTCTACAATAAAACACCAAAAATTTGCTACTTCTATAAGTCCAAAGATGACTCGTTGAGCATCCGGGACCTCGACCAAATATACCAACCAATCCTAAAATACCATACGAACTTAGTCGTGCTCTCAAATCACATCAAACAATGCTAAAATCACGAATCACCCTCCAATTCAAACTTAAAGACCTTGAAACTTTAAAATTCTACAACCGATGCCGAAACCTATCAAATCATGTCCGATTGACCTCAAATTTTGCGCACAAGTCATAATCAACATTACGGACCTACTCCAATTACCGGAATCAGAAAATGACCCCGATATCAAAAATTCCACTACCGGCCTAAAACTCTAAAAACTCAACTTTCGCCATTTCAAGCCTAAATGAGCTACGGACCTCCAAAATACAATCCGGACATGCCCCTAAACCCAAAATCACCTAACGGAGCTAACAGAACTGACATAATTCTATTCCGGGGTCGGCTTCACACAGTTCTGACTACGGTCCAAATCCTAAGGCTTGAGCTCTCATTTAGGGACTAAGTGTCCCAAAATACTCCAAAACTCAAAACCAATCATCCCGGCAAGTCACAATAGCAGAAATAGATATGGGGAAAGAAGTTAATAGGGGTTCGAGGCTCTAACTCTCAAAATGACTGGCCAGGTCGTTACATCCTCCCCCTCTTAAAACAATCATTCGTCCTCGAACGAGCATAGAGACATACCTGAAGTGGTGAAAAGATGAGCATAACGGCTGCGCATATCATGCTCGGTCTCCCAAGTCGCCTCCTCGATCGGCTGTTCCCTCCAATGAACCTTCACGGAAGCAATGTTTTTTGATCTTAGCTTTATGACCTGCCTGTCCAAAATGGCTACTGGCTCCTCAACTGGACTGAGCTGAAATCCAATACATGAGTCGGATCACCATGATACTTCCGGAGCATAGACACGTGGAATACCGGGTGAACTCCTGCTAGGCTGGGAGGCAAGGAAAGCTCATAAGAAACCTCCCCAACTCGTCGCAATAACTCAAAAGGACCAATGAACCTCGGGCTCAGCTTGCCCTTCTTCCCGAATCTCATGACGCCCTTCATAGGCGATACCCGAAGCAAGACCCACTCACCAACCATAAATGCCAAATCACGAACCTTTCGATCGGTATAACTCTTCTTCCTGGACTGGGCTGTGCGAAGTCTCTCCTGAATTACCTTCACCTTATCCAGGGCATCCTGGACCAATTCTGTACCCAATAATTGGGCCTCGCCCGGCTCAAACCATCCCACTGGGGACCAGCACCGCCTACCATACAAAGCCTCATACGGTGCCATCTGAATACTGGACTGGTAACTGTTGTTGTAAGCAAACTCTACAAGTGGCAAGTATTGGTCCCATGACCCTCCGAACTCTATCACACTGCCACAGAGCATATCCTCAAGAATCTGAATCGTGCGCTCGGACTGCCCGTCCGTCTGAGGGTGAAAGGTTGATCTCAGCTCCACCCTAGTACCAAACTCCTACTGTACAGCTCTCCAAAACCGTGATGTGCACTGTGTACCTCTGTCTGAAATGATAGATACTGGGATACCATGAAGGCGGACAATCTCTCTGATATAAATCTCAGCCAACCTCTCAGAAGAATAAGTGGTCGACACTGGAATAAAATGAGCTGACTTGGTAAGCCGATCCACGATCACCCAAATAGCATCGAACTTTCTCAAAGTTCGTGGAAGTCCAACTACAAAGTCCATGGCGATCCGCTCCCACTTCCACTCTGGGATCTCTAACCTGTGTAGTTATCCACCAGGTCTCTAGTGCTCACATTTGACCTGCTGACAGTTGAGACACTTGGCCACAAACCCAACTATATCCTTCTTCATCCTC